GAAATTCTTTAACACTTTCTAGAGTCCCAACTGCTTGACAACGAAGCTGACCAAGTGATATGGAAGATGAGCCAGAATGGAAAATTTTCCGTAAAGTCTTATTACAGCCACTTTAGGAAGGAAAGGTGTGAAATGAGCATCAAATTCCTGGCTAAACAAATATGGCAAGCAAGAGAACCCCCTAGAATCGCTTTTTTTTTGCTTGGGAGACTAGTAAGGAATGTATATTGAACATTAACAAGTTGATGATCAGGGGTCATATTCTTGTAAACAGATGTTATGTATGAATGCGGGGGATTCATGCAACCATCTTCTTTTGTGGTGTCCTGTGAGTTATGACCGGTTTTTAATTTCTAACATGTTGCTCATGCAACTTGCAAATTTAAGCCAAAAAGTTTTGCAAATGCCCATTTTGGATCATTTTCCCATAGGTATTGATCCAAATGACATAATTTGGGAGCCGGGTCCTTTTCGTTTGGATAATAAATGATTGAGGGTGATGGGTTTCAAGCATTTGGTTGAAAAAAAGTGGAAGTTGGATCCTGTTAGGGGTTCGGCCAGCTTTGTTTTTGCTTCAAAATTAAAGTCTCTAAAGTTAGAAATTAAAAGGGGGGCTAGGGAGGAGGGCAAGGCTGAGAGGATGATGAATGACTATTTAAATGAACTAGCAGAATTGGATGGCCAGGGATATCGAGGGTTTGTTAGGGGAGGGGGATAGGGAGAGGAGTTAGGTTTTGAAAAAAGAAATTACTGCCAATAGGAATATGCAAGCAATCTCTTGGAGGCAAAAGGCTAGCAAAAAATGGTTAAAAGAAGGAAATAGAAACACCAAATACTTCCATAGTTTGGCCAACTTTAGAAGAAAAAACAATTATGTGGGGGATAGGGTGTGTTGGGATTTTGTTCTCTATATGTTGGAGAGGTTGGAGTTGGGAGTAGGTGGAGGAAATGGATGAAGCATTGCATCCCTACAACCTCTTTTGCCATGATGGTGAATGGTGGTCCTCGTCTTTCTTTAAGGCTTCTAGAGGTCTTTGCCAAGGGGATCCCTTATCACCATTGTTGTTTATTATGGTAATGGAAGCCTTTAGTAGACTTATGGATAGAGCAAACGAATTGAATGTCATGAAGAGTTTCTCACTTGTTTCCAAGTAGTGTCGGGTTTGAGGATAAACTTGAGAAAAATTGAAATGGTTAGAATTGGTGAGAGAGGAGACGAAAGGGAGTTGGCTAGTGTGTTGGGATGCAATATTAACAAATTACCAATCAAGTATATTGTGATACCATCAGGGGCAAAGTTTAAAGATACAAAAACTTGGGATCCCATTATTGATATGTTTGAAAAAAGACTTGCGGGATGGAAAAGGAACTTTCTTTCTAAAGATGGGAGGCTCACATTGATTAAAAACACATTAACCAACTTACTTATTTACTATCTCTCAATTTTAACTATCCAGGCCAGCATTACTACAAATGCTACAATTATATTGTAAGAAATGAAGTTGTTAGGGTCTGGTCAGCTCATTTTAAGCAAATTTGGAGATCAAAAGCTCCGCCCAGAATGGTTTTCTTTACTTGGGAAGCAATAAAAAAAAAGGATTTTAATCATTGACGTGCTGAAGAAAAAGAGGCATTTTCCTTGTAAACAAATGTTACATGTGTAAAACTGATGCAGAATCGTGCAACCACTTGTTATTGTGGTATCCATCAGTGTACTACATTTGGGAATATGTGTTTGGGATTATGGGATTGAGCTGGATTATGGCGGATAGTGTCAGTAATGAATTGTGGGCGTGGGTTGGTTTATGTAAAAAAAAGAAACATCTGCTTTTAGCTCCGATCACCATTTTTTAGGTTGTGTGGAGAGAGAGGAATGCAAGGGCTTTTGAGGGGATTGAAAGTGATATTGTAAAAATTAAGGATAAATAGATTTACACTTATTGTAAATGGTTGCTATTGCTGTTTAAAGGCTGAATAAACTTGCAATCATCTTCTACTTTGGTGTCCTACTGTTTCTAAACTATGGTGCAGGATTTATGGATGGTTAGGTATCAATTGGGTTATTTCAGGTACGATTGGGGGGGAAGATTTGGGTTTGGGATGGTTTATATGTAAAAAGAAACATTGCTAACCTTATCCCTTTGACTGCTTTTTGGGTTATTTGGAAATAGTGGAATAGAAGGGCTTTTGATAGCATAGAGAGTAGTTTTAATAGATTAATGGATAGATGGATTCACTTGTTTGGGACAATTGTGCTTGGTCATGACATCATTAATGATTGAGGATTTTGGGAATGTCATTGATGCTCTAACTTCTCTGTAGAGATTTTGTACATGGGTGGTACCTCCGTTTTTGGTGCCTTATGAATGATACTTTACACTTTTTATTTTAAAAAAAAAAGAATGACACCATAGAAACCAGATTTCCTTTTTTGCAAATCTAGAAGGTGAATGCTTTTACCTAGAGTTGCTTTCTTTGCATGGGAGACAAGGCATGGGTGTATTCTTACTATTAACAAGTTAATGAGAAGGGGAAAGATTGTGGTGAATGACTATCCTCTATGCAAGAGGGAGATAGAATCTTGTAAGCACATGTTGCTTTGGTGCTCATTTGCATATAAGTTATGGACCATGGCATACGAGTTACTGGGAATTAGTTGGGTGATGGGTAAAGTAAGACATAAAAAATTGAGCCTGGAAAGAAACATGTGAGTCTTATTCCCCTTGTTATATTTTGGGTGGTGTGGGAAAACAAAAAGAGAGATTTTGAAGGGTGGAAGATGATTTTGATAGAGTTAGAGATAGATGGTTTCAAATTTTGAGTTTTTTAATTATGGGTGTTCATCTTTATTTTATGGAGAATTTTGGAGATCATATTTATATCTGATGAACATAAATATTTTTGTGCATGGGTTGGCACCTTCTTGATGTTTGTGTATTCATGAAACATACAATACTTTTTATATCAAAAAAATATAGAAATAATATACAATAATCATCAAATGTATATGCTATACTCTATTAAGAAATATTTGAAAAAATAATAATAAGTATAAATGATTGTCTTAATGTTATTTTCAAATTTAAACCGTGTGAAACACGGAAATTCATGTAGTGGTGGTGTGAGTAGGCGGTACAAATTTCTTTAATTAAAAGTAAAAGTACAGATAAGAT